AATATCTCCAGTTGTAGAAAACAATTTTTCAACATCTGTGGATGTTGGGGGTGGTGTGAGGTACTTTTTTGCCACCTTAGTCAATGCTAACTTGATTTTGCTAGTCGCATTTTTTTCATAGTTTTTCCAAAATTCTAGGGAACAAGAAGCCATTGGACAATTCAAAAAATTCTTTAAGATTTCCCTTGTCATTTTGGAAGATGAATATTCATTTGGTCCTGTTTGAAACTGTGCAATAATTTTTGATATTATGTGCGAGAAAGCCGTGTTTTTTCAACAGGAGCCAATTCATCTTCAAGAGGTTCAAAATTCTCCATTTGGGACATGACAATGTGTTTGGCATTTTGCAAAGCTGCTTGATATCGGAAAAAATACCATTTGTATTTTGGATTAAGTAAAGTAGCAACTGAATAATGTTCTATTTTTTTAATTGCTGAAAAACGTTTTTCCATTGGATTTTTCATAGCTATTTTTTTGTAGTTGTTTCCAAAGCTTTAATTATTGTTGTCACAACTGGAATGCAGGAACTGATACAAGAATCACTACCTGACAACATTTTTGTTGCCTCCTCAAAAACACTTAAAATCCTCACTACTTTTTCATATAGGCTCCAATCTTGGACGGAAAATTCAATTCCCACTGAAGGAAATTTGAGTTTGGTTGCAGCAATGGCTGGTTTCAGGTGTAAAATTTGCTCAAGCATGTAATAGGTAGAGTTCCATCTTGTGGCAATATCGTTTTTTAAGCCAAGTCTGTCTTTTCTACCCATTTGGATTTCTTGCTGTCTGTAAAGTTCAGTGTAGAAACCAGTAGAATGGGATGCATAAGAACAAAGTTTTCGACTCTTTTCAATCAGTTCGTTGATGGTAGGATCTGAAAATAGTTCTTTTTTTACCATAAGTTGAATGGAGTGGTTAAGGCATCCAGCTTACTTATAATTACAGCTTGGCTCATTGAAGGCTGCTTTTACATTTGCTGCATTGTCTCTTAAGCAAACTCTAATTTTTGAAGAAATTTCCCACTTCTCTGCTGCTGCTTTGATCTCTGATGCATCAAGGCAAACAGACACATTTTCAGCTTCTAATTGAACCAGCTTTTCCTTGAGAGCAACTTTAATTTTTTCATAAGTCGGATCCAGTAAACGTCTGTAGTATTTTTCGCTAGAAATTTCGTAATTTGGAGCAATAAGAGCATGGTGCCTCAAAAATCCAGCATCATTGACAATAGACCATGGTTGGAGGTCAAGAATCATCATTTCAAAAATTGACTTGTGAAATTTTTGGCCTTTTTCAGAATTAGAGTCAATTTTTGAAGATGCTTGAACCCAGTTTGGAATTGTAGATTGTAACATTTCGGTTCTTCGTTTTTTTGATCATATGTTAAAGATTGTAACTGTCTTTCTTTTGTTGAAATTTAAGTCAGCTTCTTCATTTGCCTTTGGATTTTCTGCTTTTTCGGGCGTAAGTTTGATGTCAGGATGACAATTCTTTAGGTGTGACGTGAGTCCACTTAATCCTTGTTTTTTTGGATCGTCAGATCCTTCTGAGACTTTGCTGTTGCAGATTTTGCACTGAAACATTCTTGGACTGTTTGCTTCAACTATGAAGTATTTCCACACGAAACATGTTTTTCGGTTTGAATTCATTTTATTAGAATGAAATCGAAGAACTTAATCAGATGAGTTTTTAATGTTGCTAGTTTGAGTCAAGAGCAAGGATTAAAAATATAATTATCAAGTTCTTTGTTAATTATTTTAATTATTAATTATATTAATTATATTAATTTGAATTATTATTGTTGTTAACTTAACAATATATATATATATAAAGTTCAATACATTAAAAAGTTCGTTATAAAGATAATTAATTGTCTTTTTAACGAACTTTTTAATGTATTGAACTTTTTAATGTAACGTAAGAAATTTTAAATTTTAAAAAACATTAAAACGATAATGTTTTATTGTCGTTATAACTTTTATAATGTTTTCTCGTTTAAATTGTTAATTAATTAAAAATTTCAAACGTCATTAAATTTGTAGATCATGATATTTTAAACATGATAATTAAAAACCAGATAAAAGAAGCAAGGCAATCAGACGCAAAAAATAATATAAGAAGTTGAAATAACTAGCAAAAAAATTAGTTAAATTTTTTTTAATCAAAATATATTTACGCTACAATCCTAAATAATTTATTTGAAATAAAATTATTTTCGGTAGCATTTTGAACCGAAATTCTGTCCAAAACCGAGATGTCAAATCTAAGCGGAACCGGAATAGGATTTTTGATTCAGGTCAAATTTATGACCGGAACTGAACCGAGATTCGGTCGATCACTAATGGTAACTATTTTTAACTTGAGAATATTTTTACTTGATTTTGCGTCAATATAGCGATAGTCTCGCCTAGCCTGAAAAATATTTAAACATCTCATAACACCTAAAACTCTATAAAGTTTTTAAATAAATAAAACCTTTTCATTATATGAACTATAAGCTCAAGCGAAATCTTTACATGGAAAAAAGTTAATCACAGAAAAAAATCAAAACAAAATTGAAGGTAAGACAAAATTTCCAACAAAAATGAGAAATTTAAATACTTAAAATAATAGTGAAAACTAAGTGTAGGGAATAGAGACCACAAGTAATATATAGTTCGATCTATAAATGATCTACAGTTTTACCTACAACATCTAGAAAATTCGTTTCACTTTGCAGTATTCATTCTTGCAAACTACATATCTGTTTTAAATTTGACATTTTAAAACAGATGAACTATTTCTGATTAACTAAAATGCATTAATTTTAAAAAAAAGTCAGAGTTTTATAGGTAATTGCACTTTTTTAAAAAAGTAGTTAGAAAAGCGAAAATATCGGAAAAACTTAAATAAATTGACGCTAAAAATTTTAGCTCGCTTAGGTTTTTGTTTACTCGCGGCGCCTCAGATCTATAACAATGCGTTAAACGTCCATCTATTAATGTGTCCTAAGTTTGACACGATAAAATGGCAAGTTTGCATACCATAACGATGCGTATTCAAATAAGTTTTTAATGCGCATTTGCAACTTAAAGCGCCGCTCAGTACCTCAAAGAGGTCAGAAAACGGCCAATACTTTTTTTTCCAAAACAATTTTTATTTTAAATTTTATTTATACCAATTTTTTTTTTAATTATTTGTTTAGGTGCCCCTAAAGACCTAACGGTCTTGTCACAGAGCACCGCGGAAGTACATTTAACCAGGAAGTTCACGCCTCCTTCCTTACCGTGACGCGAAAATTTTTCAAAACAATTTTTATTTTAAATTATATTTATACCAATCTTTATTTCAAATTTTTTATTTTTTCCGTACTCTAATCTTAGTTAAGCTAAAAATGGTCGGAAGTTAAGCATAATGATAGCTTGAAGGACATAGAGGACAACGGGGCAAGTTTAGACTGAATTATTCAGGAAGTTATTTAAATTGCTTCTGACAATTATAAAAATATCAGGTAACCAATAAACTTCGTGTGGTTTTGCAGGTCCATAAATAAATGCACAAAAAAACGGTTTTAGTAAAGTTTATTCTGAAAAATAGTCACCTTCAGCAAGAATGATTTTCTCCGTTTGTGAAACAACCTTGTATTTTCCATTTTTATTAAAGTCTTGAGTTTGGGAGCAAAAAAAACTAATTTAACTCATTTTCGAGATCTTCTCTATTTTGAAACTGACAATTGTTCATATGATTATCCAGAACCAAAAACAGGTGATAGTCGCTTGGGTCAAAGTCTGGTGAATACGGAGGGGGAGGTAGAATCTCCCATTGTAAACGTGCTAGAATTTCCTGAGTGATTTTTGCGGTGTGCGGTCTGGCTTTGTCCTGATAGAATACAACACCTTTTCTGTCTGGCAAAGCTGCTTGTTTTTGGTGAAGAGGAACCGAAACTCTGTCCAATCGGGCTGAGTATATTTCAGCACTAATGGTTTGTTCACTTGGTAGCAACTCATAGTGAACGATACCTGTTGTAGTCCTCCATACACACAGTAAAACCTTTTGTTGGTTTTATTTTGAATACGTGGTTTAGGAGTCATCAGTTTTGGATCGCTACTGGATAACCAATGATATGTTCGTTTTTTGTTGCAGTACATAATACATTTTTCGTCGCACGTTAACATCCGGTCAAAAAATGGCACTAAATTGTGGCGGGAAAGCAATAAAGAACAGATGGTTAAGCGCTATAGCTTGTTTGTTTCACTCAACTCATAAGGTACCCATTTGCTCAACTTTCAACGTTTTCCAAGTTGGTGAAAATGTGAACAAATAAGGCAAGGTCCTGACATGTTTGGCTAGAGTCCTGCTCGATTGCCAGCTTGATATTCTCGTTGTTGACGATGAATGGTCATCTACATCTTGGTTCATCTTCAAGGTTTTCATTTCCAGAAGAAAATTTTTTGAACCACTTTTGACCCGTCCGTTCTGCTATGGTACCTTCCCCTAAAGCAGCGCATATCTTACGACAACTTCTGCAGCTTTGGTGCCAAGTTTAAACTCATAAAGTAAACAGGCGCGAATTATCGCATTTGACACAGTTATACTCAACTTAAGAATTTTTAATTTAAATTGCACTAATAAAACTTATTAAACACACTAATTGATTCTCCTTGGAACAAGTTTCAATTTATAAACAAAATTATCTCCCAACCACAACCATTATCTTATAATACTTTTGTTAGTAAATAGGAATTAGGAAAAACCGCACAAACTTTATTGGTTACCTGATAAATAGGAAGGGTAGGCACTTAAGGGTAGGCACTTGTAGGCAATTTGAGATGTCTTTTACATTTCTAAAAAAAAATGACTTAAGTTTAATATCTTTAGTAGTTTTTTGTTATTAAAAAATAAATTTAAAAATTTAAAAACATCTCAATTTATTTTGGATTGTTGCTAATTGACGTTTACCCATATTGCAATGCATTATGGTTTTGTATGTATACGGAAATAAACAACAAAAATAAGTTTAGTAAAATGTCAAATATTGAAGGAACTGAGATTGTCCCTGAAGACTTAAATTCATTTTATTCCACAACTTTTAATTTGTTTAGTTCAAATGTTAAAAGCTATGTTGTTGGAGTAAACCTTGCTAGCAGTAGCACTATATTAGACTTCGAAGAAAGTATAACAACAAATACACCAAACGATATTGTTCAACTAAAAAAGAAAAAAAAAAGGAAATGGGGGTTTTACATGTTGTGTACCTAAATGCTTTACTAACTCAGTAAAACATAAAAATCTATCATTTTATGCATTTCCCAACATAAGGAAAAAAACCTTAGAAAGATATGGCTTCACAAAATAAGTAGAAGAGACTTTAAACCAACTTTAACTTACATGGTATGTTCTAAACATTTTGAAGGTGGAAAGAAAACTTACATGAACAAAATACCAACTAACCTACCTTAAAGTGTTAAACCTTATGTGGAAAAAGTGAGAGATACTTATAATAGTAAAGGATTGAGAAAGGCTCTTCCAAAAATATTAACTAAAACAATTATGTTCAGGGAAGAAGATAAACTAAGAGAAGAAGTGGCTTCCTTACAAGTTAAAACAATTGAACTTGAAAAAAAAATCGAAGTCAAAAACCAAGAGCATTGCATTGAATATGCAATGCTCTTGGTTTTTGCTATGAACTATTTAAAGTTGTATTTGAAAATACAACTTTAAAACTATTTAAAAGCTATGAACTATTTAAAGTTGTATTTGAATATCTTCAACCTACAGCTATCTAATATATTATGACTCAAACACAACAGCGGATAAAGAAACTGAATCAGAAGTAAAAAAGAGAGGACGAAAAAGAACCTTAACACCTGAGAAAGAGTTTTTTATGGTCCTAATTCGTTTGAAATGTGCATTTCCTATTGAAGATCTAGGGGTTAGTTTTAAGTTATCGACTAGTCATGTTAGCCGAATATTAATAACGTGGATTGATTTTTTGCATTCACAACTAAGAGCATTGCCTATATGGGCATCTAGAAAAACTGTAGATGATACCATGCCTAGTTGTTTTAAAAAACTTTATCCCTCAACAAGGGTTATAATAGACTGTACAGAGATTTTTTATAGAAATGCCTACGTCTTATAGAAATCAATCAGCTCTGTTTTCGTCATATAAACACTACAACACCGCAAAAGGATTAGTTGGAATTTCACCAGCAGGTGCTGTTACATTTGTGTCAGATTTGTATACTGGTAGGTCTACTGATTACAAAATTACAAAACATTCTAACTTAATGTCCCTTGTAGAACCAGGTGACTCTATTATGGCTGATCGTGGTTTTGAAATCGATGACTTCTTGCCTGAAAATGTTTCCCTTAACATACCCCCCTTTCTTAATGGAAAACCTCAACTATCACACCCAGAAGAAGTTGAAACTAGAAGGATTGCTTTTCTTAAAATTAATTTCAAGTGAATGGTCTAGGCGACGTAGAAATTTATCCATTATAACTGCCCTTACATTTTCAACATATTTTTAATTTTCAGGGGCTAGCTCGTTAATGGATGTCTTATAAAAGTTACTCTGTACAAAATTATTCCTAATAATTAACTCAGCCATTGTCACTCCTTGGTTTAATTTAATAAGGTTTTCAGTGAATTTTTGCAGTTTTTCAAGTGTTATATTTTTCCATACAATGGTGTAGCACAAAAATTTAACTTTCCAGTAACAAGAGGACAAAATCGTAAGTTATTAATATCTTTGTTAGCATCTGCTTTCTCAAATGTTAGATCGGAAAATAAAACAGCTTTACAGTTCTTAGCTAATTCACCAGGTATGTGCCATTTTTGTAACACATCAATGCATGCTTTTTCTTCAGGTACACTTTTTAAATTGAGCTGCTTATACTCAATAAGTTGATATAAGGTTGCAGCTACATGTTTACAGCACCCACCTGCACCACATTTACAATTGCATTTTGCATAGCATACATATCCAGTATTTTGACAAATATGTACATATATTTCGAATTGAATTTTTTTCATTGATGCTGAAACATTACACTTTACCAAAAATAAAAGTTTATCACTTGGAATATTTTGCTTAACTCTAATTTTTTTAACATAGTTTTCTTTGAATAACTGATAACCTGCTATTTTATGTTAAGTAGCTCTTCGTTCTAAATTATCGACTGCTACTTTCTCTGATATCATATAGGTAATAATATGTTGATGCGTTATTGGAGGAAGAAATGTTGTCTCTTGACCATTCAGTTACTTCTTAAGAGATTATTTCGCTAACATCACTATTAAATTCTTCGTTAGTAATTACACGAAATGTTGTATGCAGTGGAACCGTGCTAGAGCTTTTAAAAAAGCTAGAACCAACAGAAATATTTTCAGTGTTCATTTTATATTCTTTTAACTTTTAATACTTCAAACAAAAACAAAACTATTACTTTTATGAGAAACATCAGCTACGATTTATATAAGTTTAAATACGATTTATCTAAGTTTATAATTTTCGGTGCATACAAATACCACAATGCATTGCGTGAAAAAAATAATAAGGGGAAAGGTCAATTATAAATTGACCTTTACGAAGCTCAAAATTATGCCTCTTTTGGTATTTTTAGTATATAATAATTTTTTATTATTTTTTTAAATTAATTATTTTAGGTGCTTTAGGTGATTACTTTAGAAGTCCTTACAGTCGTATCACAGAGCACCGCGGAAGAGTTTTCCCAGAGGTGGCGTTGAACCAAGGCTCTCTAGTTTTTGAGACAACCGCGCCAACCACAAGGTTACGGCTGCTAAAAAAAAAAAAAATTTGACAATGAATTGAAAAAATTTGCGAAATTCGCAACATTTTTTTCGTTTTATACCTAGTTATATTAGGAGTTTTTAAACACGTTAAGAAAAAAAACTGATTCATTTTTATTTAAATTACAGCCATTTCAATAGTTAAAGTGATTTTTTATAATAAAAGGAAATTTTTCAAATTTTGGATTTGGGCCATTATTTGACTTATATTCTAACTGTTAAGTATTTTAGTCAGTAAAAAATGTTTTATTTTATCAATTAAAATGATAAACAGAGCCATTCTGGTAAAAACTGTTCTGCATTTAATTTGAAAAAACTACTTATTTAGCTGCACGTTATGAAAAACATATTTGTGCATCGAAATTTAAAAAAATGCTAATGGCTATAAAAGGATAAAAATCAGGTAACTTTTTGTTAGACCTAAATATCAGGACCCTTCAAGTAGACCTAACCGTCCTATCACTAAACCCGGTGTAAAAGCATTTAACGAAGTTTATGCTACTTGCTTTACCGGCGTTGCTTATATGGCATCGAGCCTCGGACGCTTTGACTTTAGAGCAGTGGTTAAAGCATAAGGAGGTACAGAGAAAGATGTCGGTGAGAAAGTTGGCACAAACTTTCTTGTCAAATTCTGTATTGCTGGGCTCTGTGATTAGAAAATTAGTATTTTCCAAAGCACCTTAATGAAAAACAAGAAAAATAAAGTCAACTACATAAAACATAATAATCATTACATACATAATAAAATACCAACTAATCGGAACATTTTACATAATCAATTAAGATTTAAAAATAATAACCGATAACTAATAAAGTAAAAGATCTATTTATACGCTAAAAGAAATAGGTGACTTAGTGCTAAAAATTACAAGGAAAAATTTTTTTGTTTTAGAATGGATTTATTGATAAATTATAAAGAATGTAAAACTTGATAAGCGATTTAATGATGCAAGCAGTCTAAGCAAAGCTTTATTGATTTTGCCCAATCACAATAAACACAACACATCAAATTCGGAAAAAACTATGAACTTTTTGTATAACTAGCATGATTCGTTAGAGACATATTCACAAATATTTTCTCTATATGTCAATAAAATCGAAATTGTCGTCAGGATTACTAAAAAAAAAATGAAATAAATAAAATTCCAGAGAAAAACACAACCCGAGTAGCAAACAATATTGACAAAATATTATTTACAGTATGTAAATTATAAACAATATAGCACCAATATTGTTTGCTACTCGAGAATATATATGAAAAAAAGTGTAAAAATGCCATTACAAGTAATAATAGATTAATAAAAAGTGTTGATTCCTAAATACGATGCTGTGGACTAAAGAGGCCACCAGGTTTTAATTAGTGACACTCAAACGAAACCTATTGAACATAACAGCTTGTTTAAAGGCGAGTGACATTTTTGAAAAAACTCAGATAAATATAAATATGATCAACATCTTCATAGTTATAAAAATAAATAACAGTACATTCACATTATATAGATTAATGTTCAATCCATCAATCTATATAAATATAGAACTATAATCGACGCGCATACTTGTACGTAAATATATATATATATATACTTGTATGTATGTATGTATATATATACATATACATATATATATATATATATATATATATATATATATATATATATATATATATATATATATATATATATATATATATATATATATATATATATAAGTATATATGTATGTTTGTATTTACATATGTGTTTGCATGTGTTTGCATTACAGTTTCATTTATATTTTTTAATGATTTCAATCTCTCGCCATACTTTTTTCTAACAGAAAAAACAGAAATCATGTTTTTGTCAAAAAAAAAAAAAAAAAAAAAAAAAATACTATTCTCAAACGACGCATTGCCGTAATTTGAAAAATTCAAGACTTCTTAGCAAACATTCTATAGAAGAATTTCAGTGGACCTATATAAGTATTTAGAGCAGACTGTTGTAATTTTGATCATTGGTTAATTAGTGGACCATTAGTGGCAGCCGCCAAAAGTGGCTAGCCAATAACTAGCCGCTATTAACATGTCGGAAAAATTATCGGCTTACCATTTATAGAAGCTGCCACTAATGGCCCACTAAGTAACCCATAAGCAAAACTCCAATAAACTTCTAAAATGCCTATGTAGGTCCACTGTAAATCCACTAAAACAATGTTTGGTAGGTATCAAATTATAATTTATCTCGGAAATATAAAAGTAATATATAATTATATATAATATATAAGTGGATAAAACTAAAATAGTAAAAACTACATTTAAATTACTAATATTAATAACATGGCTATAAATTTTAAAAAAGTTTTATAGAAAAATTAGAATATAACTAACTCTAAAATGGTATGGCCAAAAAGCATCACAATTTCAAAAATAACTTAATCTAAAATTATATAGGTAATACTCTTGTATAATAAGGATTTGATTTAAGTGCCACGGCATAAAACTAGGCGGTCCACAGTCACAATTCTTTAAAACAAATAAGCTGTTGGAACATAAAAATTCATAAAAATGTGGTTTGTACACCACATAAAAAAGTTCATAAAAATGTGGTTTGTGCGCCACATAAAAAAGTTTGTACGCAAAATAAATTTTTTTTTTCTTTATAGAGAATTACTCTAGAAAAGTACAAACTATTTTCAAAACTTGGTACATAATATATAAATTGTACCGATAAAATCTATTACTAAAAAACTCACTCTTGAAGCTTTTGCACCATATTTCCAGACTGAACATGGTTGTTAATCGTGAAAATTGAACTCTGCCAGTTTTCTGTGATATTTTCTTTATCATTATATTGAACATTTGAAAAATATATTTTCCGTTTAGCATGCGAATAATCAGTTGAAGACAAACTTTTACTAAATTGAGGATCTGAACAAACATTTGTTATACTTTTAAAAAAAAATTCCTTTGAATCCTTATTTTCATCAGATATTTTAAACTCAATTTCATCCAAATTCTTGTTAAAACCTTTTATATCAGTTTTTTGCTGCTTATTTACAGTTGGAGTTTCAATTTTTTCAAAACCAGATGAAAAATCTTTGTTCTCCAATTCTGTATTATGAATTGTATTTAAAGATTCCAAAAACTCTTTTTTTTTAACATATCCACAATGTGGTATAGGATTTTTTGCCGGAATTTTAGATAACTTACAATCATTTAAATGCTTGGTTTCAGCACGACTAATTTTTTTTTGAAATGCAAAGTTTGCCTCATGAGACAAACCAGATAAGCTATTCAGGTATTCTGAATGATCTTCAATATTTCTAGAATATTTGCTATCAAAAATAAAACTTGGGTTTATATGGCTATTATTATGTGTATTTGTTATGCTGTAACAAGGCTTTGACAGTTTAGCCTTTTTATTGGGTATCTTCAACGTTTTTGCATTACTATGCAATGTTGTTGGTTCTGTTAATGACTCTGAAGTTAAACTACAATTATAATCATTCATTCGATTTGGTAGTAAATTCGCCTTTACTCTTGTAGTTGAGTGGTTGAGAAGAGAAGCTCTTGTCACCAAATTCATACTTGAAAAATAATCTTTTTCATTATTAAATTTATTTAGCACAGGAACCATTTGTGATTGATCACCTTTTACCATAGTATCTTCATAAAAATCTTCCTCAAATCTTCCAAATTGGTCAATTGTTTCTTCGACATCAGTCAATTCTTAACAATAAAATATTAGACCTTTTAAACTATATTCTAACTTTTAGATATTATTTATTACTATACTAACCAAGTGTTTCAGTTTTAAAAACGAAACCACCTTGTTTTATTTATATGCTAACATATATTTTTTTTGAAATGTCTCTTACTTTGATCTGTGGTAATATCATCAAAAAGATTAGAAACAGAAAAATCATCATAAAAGCTGTTTTGTGCACGTAAACTTTGAAATGTGTCCACTTGAGATAATATACCTCCATCTATAAGTTTTTGACGTTTACAAACTTGATTTTCATTCTGATCATTGTCATTCTAAATATTTTTATAATTAAAAACTAATAAGAATTGTCATGAAAAGAGTTGTCTTAGACAGATAAAAATCCTATATGAGTTTACTTATAAGTATTACCTTGATATAACCTGACATTTTGGGTTTGTAAGAAAACGCTTCAAGACCATTAATAACATTTTTTGAAGTAACCAAATTAAGATTCTAAAGAAACTGAAATATCATCATCATCATCATCATCATCATCATCATCATCATCATCATCATCATCATCATCATCATCATCATCATCATCATCATCATCATCATCATCATCATCATCATCATCATCATCATCATCATCATCATCACCATCATCATCATTATCATCATAATCATCATCATCATCATCATCATCATCATCATCATCATCATCATCATCATCATCATCATCATCATCATCATCATCATCATCATCATCATCATCATCATCATCATCATCATCATCAGATTGTTAAACAGTATTGATATACTTATTCAAGTATATCAATACTGTTTAACAATGACAAAAGTTAAAAATATTTTCAAACAATAAAAATCATAAAAAACTACCTGAAGATCTTGTTTGGATGTTGCTTTAGCTGAAAAAAACTCAAATATATTAAAGAAAAATATTACTCATTTTTTACAGTTATTAAAGCTACTTATTAAATATAACCAATTCAAAATTTAGTAATTAAATATAATCAAGGAAAATCATTATTGATAAAAAAAATCATTATCGATAAAAAAAATTAAAAAAAAATTTAATAATAAAAGCAAAAACTTTCTTGCATCAAAATTGTTTTTTTTTTAAACAATTGAGTTTCAAAAAAAGTTCATAGGAACTCAGTTAAAGATAACACATAGATAATCTTTATGTATTTCTAAATTTTAATTTAGAAATTCATAACATTGTAATTTCTATGCAATATTTATTTTTAAATATAAAAGTATACTTTCTATGCACTATTTGTTTTTAAATACAGTGCACTTATAAATAGAGCATGGCAAGCTTTAACCTAACTCTAATTACAAAACTATCAAATATAACATTGTCCTGTGAATTGTTAATTCTTTTGTTTGAATGATTAAAGTAATTAAAAATTTTGAACAAAAATACAAAAAAGTCTAACTACTTTACTGAAATAAAAATAAACTTTCAAGATATGAAATGTCTTAAATAAATATACATTTCAACTTGAAATATTAGGAAAAAAAAAAAAGCGATCAATTTTTCTTATCTTACAATAATATAATATCACACTTTGTGATATTATATTATTGTAAGATAAGAAAAATTAGTATGATTAGGATTTATACGTTTATATATATATATATATATATATATATATATATATATATATATATATATATATATATATATATATATATATATATATATATATATATATATATATATATATGTATATATATATATATATATATATATATATATATATATATATATACATATATATATATATATATATATATATATATATATATATATATATATATATATATATATATATATATATATATATATATATATAGACACACACACACAAACAAATGACAGCAGATTAGTTTTCTTTTATTTCCATTTTTAGTTTTAAGATTTACCAAATAAAAAATGTGAGTTCTTTTTAAATATTTCCACTAATGAAATGCTTTAAGTAACAAATTTTTAAAATATATAGTATATAATATATATAAAATATATAATATATAATTAAATTTTTTTAAATCTATACTGGTAGATAAAAAAAAAATGAAACTTAAAAATGGTCATCTCAGTGCTTTATTATAAAACAATAAGTTAGCATTACATAAACAACAAATTCAAACAGCAAACATTGACCTAAAATTAGTTTCAATGTAAAAGAGAGTTTATGAATAAATCTCTTTTTTTTCTGTTTTAAAAAAAACAATGTTTTGTAACAAAAAAAAAAATAAAAAAATTCTTACATCTTTTTGGTGGCAACTTTTGAAGACAGCTGGCTTCACCTTTTGAACATCGTTTGTTCTAGATATAATTAAAATTGCTTAGATATACCAGAAATCTTAATTTGATGCAGACTTTATAAAGCAATCAAAATTTTAAAATATAGAGCAAGGTTAATAAAGGGTAGAAGAAACTATTATATGTAGTAGTAGCCTTTCTCTACTCTGCCTACTTCAGTGGCAGATTATCTATAAGGCAAACAAGATAGTTCCCTAAGGCCCACCTAAAATAGAGGGTCTTAATTTAAGCAAAAATAAAAAAGTTAATGCAACTTTTTTATATTGTCATATAAAGTGTTTGACCAATCACAGAACACCATTTATCTTAAAAAACTTATTCACCACAAAAAGAAAAAAAATAATCTTTAACCTATAATTATATATTTTTTAGTTTTTATACCTCTAAGCCCTCAATGTATTTTTTAATGTCTAAACCCTCAATGTATCTTTTAATCTACCACTAATGTAAGTTATTTAAGGAAAGTAAAGATAAAACTGAAACATTTAAAAGATTTTTTCAAACATTTGAAACATTTCAAAGACAAGCATATGAAGAGCATTAATGATTCGGTGATATCTTTTAAGTTATTTTTTTTATACCACCAAATGTAAGCAACTCATTTAAAGCTTAACTAGATTTATGTATATAAAAATTTCTTTTCTTTTCTGTGAAAGACTTAACAAGACATTAAGTCTTTCCAGGATTGTATTTTATTAATTGTTTTTTATAAGCACTTTATTTTCAACAAGCTTATTTTCTATTTATCTAAAACCTTAATATACTTTTCCAAAATAACAGCTAATGTATTTTTTAATAGCTAATGTATTTATTTATAAGCACTTTATTTTCAACAAGCTTATTTTCTATTTATCAAATATGTTAATATACTTTTCCAAAATAATAGCTAATGTATCTTCTCATAGCTAAGGTATTTTCAGCTACTATAAGTATCATATCAATTTTATTATTATTGGCATGTAAACATTTGATTTGTAAGTTGACAAGTAATAAATTCAAATCTGCATTTAAAATAAAATCATCTATTAGACCCATTTGCCTTTTATCAGTTAAAAAAAACTAATCCACTTCAAAACATAGATTTAATACCAAATTTAATTATCATATGCTTCAAGTTTTAATCTTCTTCTTAAACAATGTTAATAAATAGCAATAACAATAAAATAACTAATAATAGCTATAATATAACAATAAAATAACTTTTAACAGTCAAATTTATGTTCAATGTTCAATTTAAAGTTTTACAAAGAATAGAATTCAGTAAAATCGGCTAAAAGAAAGCAGCCAAGATAATGGCATTATTTAAAAATGGAATAGAAATAAAAAGTTTAATTTCTATTCCATTTTTAAATAATAGCATTATCTTGGCTGCTTTTTATGAATTTGGCTGCATTTAAATGGATTGATTTATTAAGTTAATAGATTAGAAAAAGTACTTTTATTACTAAGGGATAAAATCCCATATGGTACAACAGATTTTCTTAGGTTCAAAACATATATATTAGAGTTTAACTTCAGTTAAAGGATTATTTAAAAATGTTGAATTTAAACACTTTTTTATCAAAGTTTGGTAAAATGCTATCATTATTTTCTACAAATACTGAATGAAAACTATTATTTCATTTATTTGCAACATTAATGCTTAATTTTTTTCTAATAATGTTTTCTTTTTATTGCGTACATTTACATTACTTATAAATTATATTTTTATGTTAAGTATTGAAAAAAATTATTAAAATGAGAATATAAAACAAATAATAAAATTATTTATTTTATATTCTCATTTTGTTTTGTTCAGTTGCAAATATGTTGCACTATTTCCTTATTAATTTTTTAAATTTTTATATACTTGAATACATTTTTAATATTTTGGAGACTAAATAAATCTGTTATAAAATATAAATAATGGTATAAATGTTTTACTTGTTATTAATCGAAATAGTTATTATAAACTCTTACTATATTATAAGGAGACTATCACATATATATATATATATATATATATATATATATATATATATATATATATATATATATATATATATATATATATATATATATATATATATATTATATATATATATATATATATATATATATATATATATAAATAATGCAGTTTTACTTGCATTGTAACAACATCTTTTTAATTTTGATCTATAGCATTTATTTCCGTTTTATAAAGTCTTTTGATTCTTGAATAATTTTAAACTTTACCTAAAGTATGTGTTAACATGGCCGAGCGGTTAGCGCGCCGACATAAAGAGGCAGAGATCCGGGTTCAAGTCCTATTGTTAGAAACCTTTTTTTTATTGATTTTTTAAAATACAAAGTAAAACACATTAAAAAAGAATAATGAAATTGTTTTGTTTTGCGCTTTAAAAATTCAAAAAAACTAAAAAAATAAAAGCAAGTTTGCTACGCGGCAACAGATTTACAGATTTACTTTTACTTGAAAATTTCATTACAGCAATATCTATTTATTTTAAAGCATTTATACACCATTTTATAAAGTTTAATAAGTCTTCTGTTTATTAAACAGTGTTAAAAGATAATACAACATGCCAAAGTGGTTAAAGTGCTTCTCTTGGGTTCAAATCCTTTTGTTTAGTTTTTTTTTTTAAATTCTTTCTAACTTTCTAGAAAACAAAGAAAAATATTTTTAAAGGCTTATAGATATTATATGCATTACATATATATAAAGATATTATATACTATAACAAACCAAAAGAAAATAATTTTTTAAAGCGCTTTTTAAAATTTCTAATAATTTCCTAATAAGTAATTATACCGGATGGTATGAAAAAAAATTATATTCTGAAACTTAATAAAAAAAAACTTAATAACTCCAGAGCTGACAAACAGAAAACCCCAAAATTTTTAAATTACTCCATAATTTTAGTTTTGCCAAATCCGGTAATAGAAATGCTCAAATATAAAATATAAATATTAAATGATTTTTGTATTATGAAGTATACGCCAATTCTTAAACGACTGTAAAACTATCTTGCTGTTATGTAATAAAATCAACCAAATCCGGTAATAAAAACAGTTTAATTAATAGATACAAAATCATCTGATTTTTGTATTATGATATGTGCACCAACTGTACTCTAAAACCAGTAAAACTCATCCATGTGGTCTCTTCCTCTTCATTTCGATTATAACATAAACCAGCAAGGAACAAAAAGTAAGTTTCATCTCATTTGCCTACAAGTTTACTTATTGTAATCTTCATTTAAAAAATTAATTTTAATTTAGAATTAACATGTTAATATGTTTTTGACATAAGAATAAACATTAAGATTAGATTTTAGAAATGCGCAGCCAAAATACAGAAGGTTAGACTATTCTTTTTATTTTATATAACATTATTTAATTAAAGAGATAAAAAGAGATGATATACCAATAATACTGAGATATTTTGATGCTTCAGATAGTGCTTTCAACTAAACTTGTGTGTTTATGTTTGTCAAATTAAAATACTATGCGAAAAATCAATGTTGTTAGAGATTAAGAACAATTAGGAACAGTTTAAAAAAAATTTTTTTAGACATACTAAAGTTAAAGTCTTCAACAGCTTTTAAATATATATATCTGAATCATCAAAAATCCTGCCTACACTACTGGTGTTATTGTTTGTCACCGTATAATGTTCTTGTGATGTTTTGTGTTGATAGACAGCTTAGCTTACCTTCACGTTGGTGTCTATTGCTAAAAACAATTATTGGTTAGCTTTATTACTGAAACTTACGTTCACTAAAAGCGAAGATATTTTTTAATTAAAAAATGCCTGATTTTTTATCTCAGTGTGATTTTTTATCTTTAGCATTGTTAATAAAACTGAATTTTCTTAAAAAGAGTATTTTCAGCCTTCCAATCAAATCCTAAAGACTTAACAAAAGAAATCTCACAGAGTATTTATTGTTCAATATGTGACAACATTTCGTTTCGTATTTTTAATTTTTAAAATAAATTAACATTATACATGTAAATGTGCATTCAGTGTTATTAATAATGATTTCATTTCGTTTTTAGGTAGACTTGATGGTTTTATAATCAATTTAAAAGTCTTTAAATCGTTAATCATTTTCTAAAGGTGAAGAAAAAGAATCATCAAACTTCATATCATTTGATAAAAGTTATTTTGAAAAAATTGCCATTCAAATTGTTGTAAACCATTCAAATTGTTGTAATGCCATTCAAATTGTTGTAAACTAGTATTTGCCATTCAAATTGTTGTAAACTAGTATTTCGATAATTTTCACATTTTTACTATTTTGAAGTTTCCTATCACTTTGTATTGAATTATCTAAATCCAAAATTATCTGCCCTTATATCAAGTACTTCACATAAATGAGTTTTTTCTGTTTTTGTTTTATAATGCTATGTACATTTGTACACACTGTGTGCCAATAGAAACGAGATGAGAAAATAGTAAAATTAGTAAGGTGAAACTCAACATTGGATTTCTTTTTGTGTAACTGCCATGAGTTAATAATTGCATGTGTGTATATATATTTCTTTTGATCTCAGATATAAAATGTGTTTTGTTTAATAGTATAGCTGGTAATTTAATAACAAAAAGTTGTAATAGAATCATTAAAAATAGGATATTTCATTTATTTAAGCCTACCTACTGAAGCTAGTGCCCCTCCCTATGTGTTTGTATAATCATACAATCTGTTTTATGCTTGCCATATTTATTTTGTCACTGAGTTTTATCCAGTTGATTTTGTAATCAAAGATAAATAAATAAGTATAATGTTTTAAATATATTTTCAGATAATTCATGCAAGCGGTTTACAGTTGAAGATGTGTTGCAGCATCTTGATGACTCGGAACTTGAATAATCAGATTCTGATGGCTCTGGGGATGAGACCCTTAACCCTTCTGCTGCTGATATGCTGGCTGACGAAAATGAGGATGAAATTGAAAGATCAGATTAAGATGAAAAGCCAGGCACTTCTGTGAACAGTGGGAACAAAAGAGAAAAAAAGACACAGATCAAGTGGCGGTCTCTTCGAGGTGCATTTGAAAACAGCTCAGAATGGCAAGAAAAATTGAATTTGGGAGATGCCCTACTTTCACCATCCTCATATTTTTTAATTAATTTAACCCAGAAATATTCAAAACATTTGTTGAACAAACAAACATTTATCATCTCCACAAAACTAGTAAAACTCTAAATACTACAACAGCTGAAATTCAGAAAGTTTTTAGTACCACAATAGTAATGGCAAATTTAGGTTTTCCCAGAATAAGGATGTACTGGCAAAAAGCCACTGAGTAAATTCAGTGGCAGATGTTATGCCTGTAAACCGCTATTTAAAGCTGCGAAACAGCATTCATATCAACGCCGATCCTAATACAGAACAAGGAACTAATAAATTCTGGAAAGTTCAGCCAATAAATTCTGGAAAGACAGCGAGAATGTACTCTGATAAACACAGTACATTCTCGCTGTCTTAAGTTACCAAGAGAAGATTACAACTCTGTGGATGAGCAGATGATCCCTTTTACTGGTAGAGTACCTACTAAACAGTACATCAAAGGGAAGCTAAATCCAGTAGGGGTAAAAAACTTTGTTGTCTGTGGTACCTCTGGTAGGGCAGTTGATTTCGAACTATATCAGGGTGCAGGTACAGGCATATCAGAAGAGCACAAACACATGGGACTTGGTGCTTGTATTGTCCTAAGATTGTCAGAAACTATTCCACAAAATAAAAACTACAAGCTCTGTTTTGATAATTACTTTACTGGCATGGTCCTTATTAGACAGCTGAAAATGTTAGGAATTCAGTCCCTTGGTGTCGTTAAATCCAACAAAATAATGGGGTGTCCGTTAAAAACAGAAAAAGAAATGATGTGGATCAACCAACTGCAAAGTTTCAACAAAAGGCGACATATGTGTGGTCAGGTGGATGGATAATGGAGCTATAACTCTTGCCTCCAGCTTTGTCGGAATTGAAGAAATGGGCACAGTAAGAAGGTGGAGTGAAAGCAAAAAGGAATATATTCAAGTGAACAGATTGTGTGAAAGCCTACAATGAAAACATGGAGGGAGTGGACAAAATAGACTTCCTCATTGCTTTGTACAAGATAAAGACAAAAACTAAGAAGTGCCTGTACACATGATTTTTCATTTCGTGAACTTTTCCCTAGTCAATTCATGGCTTGAGTATCAAGATATTGAAATACAAAATGGTACTCCTAAAAGACAAACTTTGGATCTTCTCAATTTCAGAAATGAGATTGCTGCCACACTAGTGAAAGCCCACTTGACAACACTAATTGCTTGCAAACCATTTGGAAGGTCAAGAATTGCCGCAACTGCACCAATCATAAATTCAGGTGATTCAACATCAACATCTTCTGTAAATACACCTCCTCAAAAGCGAGCAAGACCGGCAGAAAGACCAGCTGTGGAGATCCGCTATGACCAGTTTGACCATTTCCTTGTCTGCATCAATGAACTGGGTCAACGCTGCAAGTTTGAAGAATACAATGGTCGCAGCAGAATCAAATGCATCAAGTGTAATCTGTTTCTTTGTTGCACTGGAGACAAAAACTGTTTTCAATTATTTCACATGAAATAATTCCTTGGTAAAAGACAAACATTTTGTACTTTTTTTGTATTGATTTGGTAATGAGGTAGCTACATAATATAAATATTAAATACTTAAGTTCAAATAATAAACTATTGATTTGTTCCAGGTTTTTGAGTTTTTTTGTAAGGATTTTTTTTGATATAATAGTGTCTACAAAAACCTTTACAACAAGATCGATACACGCTGTGTTCAAATGTACACATGACCAATTTTGAATAATTGATGGAATATTTTGATAAAATTTTACATACTCCATAAGGAGGTTTAGAACATTATTTTTATAACAATAAAAAAAATTTTAAACATATTTGATGTGCCCGCGTACGAAGGGGTTACATAATATTTCATTCTCTAACTTATGAAGTTATAAGGGTGCAAATTTTAAAAGAATTTACATTTTTAACAACACCATTTTTTATTCAAAAACAAATGAACTCAGCTCATTAAATAAAAAATTTACTAAGGGCAATTATAAAAACTAATTACCAAACTAAAAAAACATCTAATCACTTATTGAAATTATTTGGATATTAAAATAAAATAATAATATCATCTTGATATTATTTTATATTTTGGATTTTCAAATTATGTTTATCATCTCTATGATATTATTTGTTAAAACGTCAATCAAAACCTTAAGAAAGTATTAATGCCCATAATCTGCACAAAAAACCATCAGGGCAGTCAATTTACCTAACCTGTCTATAAAAAAAAAAATTATTTCTAAAGGGCTTCTTTAACAATTCTTTTAGGCTTTTTATTTATTGAAGGCAAACATTTAAATTTTTACTAAGAAAAGTAGATCAGTAGATATTTGTAAAAAAATAAATAAAAGTACTTACAGATTCAGAGATTCTATGAAGAACAGGTTTGCAACAACGATGACCACAGGTGAGATATGTTAAAGAAGTTATATATAAAGAAATATATATACACACATGCAATTATTAAAATAAAACTTGCCTTTCGATTGTTTAAACAATCTTTAAAATAAAATTAAAAAAAAGTGCACAATTGTTATAAACATGCAAATTTAATTTTACTACAGACAAATTTCTTTGCAAAAGAACAAAACTTTTATAGAAACTGCATAATAAACTTTTTAAACTAATTAAATGACAGAAAAGATATTTCATTTTGTTTACACACTTATGATTGCAGTCTACATAGGGTTTCATCTTCTTGAATGTCGAGTCTGCAACTAAAACAGTAAAAGTTATTCAAAAACTTTCTTTGGAGAAAGTAATGCTTAAAGTTGTGCTTATATAACAAAAATAAAAATAAGAAAAATTATTATACAAAAGGAAAAAAATTATAAAATTAATAAGAAAAAAATTCACTGTAGGAGTTTTCCTCAAAGAAATTTTTATTTAAATCCCCACTGTAAACAGGAGTAAATGATGTTTGTACATCTAAACCAACTATAAAAAAACAAGTGATTTGTTTTAAAACTAAAGATAATTAATGAACAGTCATGAAATTGTAGTTAAAATCTAAACTAACCATAAAATAAATTGATAAGGTTAACACTAATAGCAGCATTTATAAAACTTCTGATGACTGTAATCTTTTTAGACCATACATGTCCATGAAAGTTGTGAATACTATAAACAAAATTCATACACTTTTATAAATTTATATCAATAAATACTAACATAAATTTATATCATACTATAGCATATTACAATATATAATATATATATATATATATACAAATATATAGACTTCAATTAATAAAATTTAGTGAGAATTCCGAATATATATATACATATATATATATATATATTATATATATATATATATATATATATATATATATATATATATATATATATATATCATAGATATACATATATATATATATATATATATATATATATATATATATATATATATATATATATATATATATATATATATATATATATATATATATATATATCATAGATGAGTATTTGACTTTATGAAAATCCCGCAAATTTTTTTTCTATGATTATATAAATATATCCGTATATGTATATATATATATATATATATACATATATATATATATATATATATGCATATATATATATATATATATATATATATATATGTATATATTTGTATATGCATATATATATATTTGTATATGTGTGTGTATATATATATATATATATATATATATATATATATATATATATATATATATATATAAACATATATAAACATATATAAATGTATGTATAAGTCAAAAGTTTGAGTTTACTTATTTTATTTTTTAACTCTATGCAACTTTCTTTAAAAATTGAAGCTCCTTACATTAAAAACTAGTGTAACATTAATTTTAAGAATTTAATTTGACATTTTGATTATAATGAGATTCACACATCTATTTGAGTACATAGAGTGTAGATTTATCATCATTAAAATAATGAATACTTAAGGTATATTTGACAGTAATACTTAGGTATATTTTACTGTATTAATTGGATATAATTTGTTGTAAAACTAACTTTTTCCTTCACTGTTGTTGTTCATTGTTTTATTATACAAAAAGGTAATCGATTGTTTTTGTTAAATATTGTAACATTCATAGAATAATTATTATGAAACAATTTAAAGTATTTTTTCCGAGTATTGAAATTGATGACAAGTTAATACTTTTTGTTTTAACTGACAAAAAATGGGTAAAAAAGTAGAGCTAAGTGTAAAAAACAAGCTGTAATTGTGGCATTACAAGGTTATGACATGAAAAATTGCTTTAAAAGCCAATGTTTCTTAAAAGGTAGTAACAAGAGCGTTGCAGAGAAAGCAAGAAACTGGATGTAATCAAAATCATCATTGTTTGGGGTGGCATAGACAGACAGACTCATCCATATTCAAAGTAAAAGAAATTGAACTCAAACTGCTCCCAAAATTTGCTAAAAACTTGATTCTATGTGGGAAACATCAGCATCTGTATCAACCGTAAAGCAATGTCTTTACAATTAAGATTTGAAAGGATGCGTTGCAGTCAAAAAAACCATGACTATGCAAGCTAAATAAAACTAAAAGAATAAAATGGGCAAAAACACTTAAAGATTGGACAACTCAACAATGCTCTTGAGTCTTGTTTACTGATAAATCAAATTTTGAAATCTTTGGAGGAAATTGTCAAAAATATGTCATAGTATTTAACTAGTCTAGAAATGCGGGCCGTTTTCTTAAAACACTTTTCCTCTCTAAACTAGTGCTCAGCCTACTTTAGAGTGCATCAAATTGTAAACATTGTATTTCGTTATAGATAAGTTACATATATTCTGGGATAAATATTGAAATGGCATGAACAAATTGTGATTTTTTTGATTATTCAGTTTCAAGTTAATATTTTGGATTGCATATATATTTCTTATTCCGAATAAAAATGATGAATATAGCATAAAATAAAGATATCAACTGTTGATAAATGTAGTTATGAGACAGAGTTTGTAGTGGTATAAATATGCTTATTCAACCATATAGCTTATACCATATAAGCATTTAAGTTATATACTATATGAAAATATGTTATAGATGCAAACATTTCATCGACTGTATAACTTGATGGATGTATATGAGTATAAATGCTTTTTTTATATTCAGAGTATATTTATTTAAAATGTTACCTAATAGAGCTTAATAAACTCTATATTCTATATATAGTTTACTTAGCTGGATTAGTTGATAATTTATATATCACTCTTTACACTATGTTGGTATCTTTTCTGGAAACAAAAAAAAATCAGGTACAATTTTATCATTTTGAATGGTTTCAAAGCTAAATTAGATGTTGATATCTTTAAAGATATGTGTTATACCCTTAACACAGCATGTTTATCTACCTTAGAGAGAAAAATTATATCTTAATTATTACCTAAATTATATTAAAAATAATGATTTGTTGTTTAATTTTCTACCAAGAAAAAAATTTTTACTTTTAAAGATATAATTTTTTACCTAGGAAGATAAAAGATTTTACCTTACTATGTGCATATCACACATTCTACCCTACGGTAGAACTTCTACCTTTTTTACAAGTGCTATACTAACAATAAATGTTGTGCAAAAATGTTTTTCTATTTTTATTAATAAGTAAAAAACTTAATCAGTAAAAAAAATTAGGATTTTAATACTTTAAAAATAGCTTATATATAAATTTTTGTTTTTATAATGCTGTATTGCAAAATCTAAGGTTATCTTCAACTAAAATAAGATATTTCATGTTAATTATCTAGTTTCAAATTCAGCTGTAGTGTATGATGATATACTTGACAAACTAAATTTCTTAAAAGTTGTTGCTTGTAACTTGCGATGTTTATGCAAATCGCAAGTTGTTGAAAAGGCATTTCAAATGATTCATTTATGCCTAATCCACCACATTAAAATAAGACAACTCGTTACTATCTTATTTAAATATGACTTATCCAACTTAAAACATATGGAAAAAAAAGATATATGTAAGATGGTAAGTTTATACAGTGGAACCATATTGCTTATATATTCTATAAAAACAGAGAATATAGCCTTTGTATTTTACCTAAACTTACTTTTGAGCATATAAAGTTGACAAAATATTTATTAAAAAGTTTTAACCTAGCTGCCTAAGTAATAAATTTTTACTGTATTAAAAATTATGTTACATTATGGAATAGCTTATTTGAAAATTATTTCCGACACTAACAATCACTTAGTGCTTGCAAGGGCAACCCATCATTTAATGACTTTCAATAATAACAAAATAAAAAACATTTTTAGTAGCTGGAAATGTAGTGTATTTAGCTACACGATATTATAAAGTGGTAGTAATATAGTATTAAGTCATGCCATTTAAAAAATATATATATACCAATAATATTTTAAAAAAATATATGACTATGAAAATAGTCGTTTTAGTAGGTTCAAGTCATCTCACTTTCTCTTTAATGTTCTTATTCCAAAATAGAAGGTGTTTTTTAATTGATGTTCTTTATATATCAATTTAGTTTGACCTTTTAGAATTTTGAAAGCTTTCAGGTTATATTTTGCAATGTACAATCTACGAACTTGTATGTAAAATGTTAGATGATCATGCATACTTAGCTGCAAGCAAATATGATAAACACTGCTCATTATACAACTTAGACATGTTAGAATTAAAAGCAATTGTAAAATTAGAGGTACCAAAAACATTCCCACTAAGTCACAATAGAAGGTTTTGTTTAGTAATGTAGAGGGATACATGCTTAAATGTTATAATATCATTGATAAAAGAGGTACCAGTCAGATAAACAAAGGCAAGACTTGCTACTTCAAAACATGAAAGAAATTGTTTTTTCAGAAAAAGTTTTATAGAATTGATTCTACAAAATATTTTCTAAAAAAAACAATTTCTTTCATGTTTTGAAAGCATTCATGTTTTGAATGCTACTTCATGTTCTTTTATGTTTTAATCAGCGATAAAAAATTTCAGCAATTCAATCAAATGAATCAGTTACATTTTTAACTAAGCTGTAACAACTTCTTCTTGAAATAATTGAAATATTTATACTTGATTTTAAACTTTTTATGTCAGCTCGTAGCAAAGTACCATTTATCTAAAGCAAGCTTTACTTCAATCTTGATTAAATAATTATAAAATCTAATAGGATGAAGAATAATCTTTGCTTTCTTTTATTCTTTACTAAATGTTTATCAGTAATCTTGTCCTTGTGCTTGGAAAGCACAAGGACAAGATTACTGATAAACATTTAGATTACTGATAAACATTGGCGTTAAGGTGACGAGTCACTGTGTGATATGCATCGTTTCTTACAAAACAAACACAAATATTCTTTCTTCGCTTTGGTAAGGATAAATTAAAATAGGTACTCTAATGTTTGAACTAAAATTGGGCGCTACTTGTCTTTCCCCCCCCCCTCCCTGTTTTTATGATTGATTTTTATAAAGTACATTATACTGATTCTAAATCATATAAAAACATAGGTCTGAAATTTTGAGGAAAGTACTCTAATTTGATGTTAAAGTATAAAAATCCACATTAAAAAACGCTAATATTCCACCATCTTTTTAAAAACATTTTAACACTGTTTTCAAAATTAAGGTAATTCATTTTTTAACTAACGACCTGGTTTTTATTGTTGTTTTTATATTTTATGATGTAAATACATCGACTGACAATTAGGAATTGGCGCAACTAAATGTACATGCATCGACTGACAAATAGGAATTGGCGCAATTAAATGTACATACATCGACTGACAAATTGGAATTGGCGTAAATAAATGTACATATACCTACTGATAAATAGGAATTGGTGTAAATAAATGTACATATATCTACTGATAAATATGATTTGGGGCAATTAAATGAACATGGTTTGGGTCAGGGTTTGGTTGGGGCAGGAAATCAATAAATAATGCGTTTTAAATTGAAGCATCGATAGAAACCAGGGTTTTTTAAAGTTGTTATTGAAAAAGAATTTTATCATAACCGAGTATGACAAAGATGGTGGAACATTAACATTTTTAATGTGGATTTTTATACTTTAACATCAAATTAAAGTACTTTCCTCAAGTTTTTAGACCTATGTTTTTATATGATTTAGAATCAGTATATTGTACTCTATAAAAATCAATCAAAAAAACAAGGGGGGGGGGGAGAAAGTCGAGTAGCGCCCTAAAATTGAGATCTGCCTCTAACAAATAGCAACTCAATAGCAGCTAAAACAGCATCGAATTTTTTCAAATTTTCAAAGTCTGCGCTACAAAAAGTCATTTTAAAAACATTTGATGCACTCTCAGTCCGATCACCCCTTAAAGCTCAAGTTATTTACGAAATCTATAGAAAACGGCCGTGTTTCCAGACTAGTTAAATACTATGACTATGTTTAAACGAAGTACATATGATAAAACAATGCATGACCCAAACAGTCAAGCATGGTGGTGGGTCAATCATGGTCTGGGAAAGTTTTGCTGGAAAAATAAAGTTTGTGATCTTGTGTGAATTGAGAACATCATGGATAAAAAAAAACAACCCACAACATTCTCCAAAAATATGGGAAAAGTTGCTTTTTAACAAGATAATAATCTTAAACATGTGTCTAAATTCAGCTGTAATTATGTTGCAGCCAAAGAAAAACAAATTGAACTAAAATATATATGGAATGGCCTTCTCAGTCACGGGATTTAAATCTAATAATGTGTTTGTGGGGCAAGTTAGATAGTAATGTTAGAAAAATGCAACCTTCCAATCAAAAACACATTTAGTTACTCACACAAACATTCTAGAATCAAAAATTGACTGAATCATTGCAGATGTTGATTGTAAGAATTCACAGAGAATGTGCTGCTGTTACAAAAAGAAAAGGAAGATACTTTGAAAAATCAAAAATTAAATAAACTACTAAAAGATTTTTAAAATGTCTTCTTATATTTTATATTTTATAGAACAAATGATTATTATATTGTAAACAATAAGAGTAGTTGAAAGTGATTTAAAAAGTCTATTTTTTAAAAAAATTATTGAAAATATACTATATGATTCATAAAAAAATATCCAATTCTGTTGAAAATATGATTATTTTATTAAAAATAATATAAAAACCTATGATGATAAAAGTCTTAATTTTTTTGCCATTTTGTAAAATTCATCTAGAGAGCCTAAGCTTTTGACTTAATGACCTAATATTATATATATATATATATATATATATATATATATATATATATATATATATATATATATATATATATATATATATATATATAAATATATATATATATATATATATATATATATATATATATATATATATATATATATATATATATGTACATATATATATATATGTACATGTATATATATATATATATATATACATATATATATATATATATATATATATATATATATATATATATATATATATATATATATATATATATATATATATATATATATATATATATATATATATATATATATATATATATATATATATATATATATATATATATATATATATATACATATATATATATATACATATATATATATATATATATATATATATATATATATATATATATATATATATTTATATATATATTTATATTTATATATATATATATATATATATATATATATATATATATATATATATATATACACAAAATAGTTATAATCAGGGATGTGGGGTCGTAAAAAAAAGTACCAACTCTGACTCCAATCATTGAAATTTTCAGAGTACAACTCCAAAGCAAAATTTTTGAAAAATTGTTTGAATTCTTTAAAAAAAATTATGTGACAATTAAAATTATTTTTTTTTGCCAAATACATGAGAAGTTCTTTGAAGTTTAAATATTTTGTACATGCATGTGCAATACTAAGAAGTTTCACTATTGGAGTCGGAGTCGAAGTTTTGTTTAGTAACTCTGAATCTGACTCCGCTAAAAATGTTGTGACTCCGACTCCATGACTCTAAATCCACAGACCTGGTTATAACCCTATTGACCATATCTATTAAAAATGGACTTCAATGTTAATATTAGCTCTGCCATCATGTAGCTGCTTCCCCATTAAAAAAACTTGGTACAATGTAGTTACTTTTCTAAAAGACTCTTGTTTCAATGCAGCTTCTATTTTGGGGGTTCTTGATCAGATTAGACCATTTGTCAAACACATAATCAGATTAGATCATGTATTTGATGTAAGTCATCGAAAATAGATAGTTGTATGGACAATACAGGGAATGAGCTGAACTTTACTTAATCTTAAAGCCACTACAAAAAAATTGCTCAAGACTGAAACATTTGCATCTGAAACTCAACAAGTTTAAGTAGCTCAGTATTTGATTATTTCAATTTCAATATCTTCATTCTCTTATATTGTATCACTCATTTCAGACTAGCAGTTCATCTGTGCCTTTATTTAACTTTTCAATGTTAAGCCAATAAAGATATTCACTAGTGTGTTGGGAGTTAGTATCTCTAATCTGCTTATAACCATTTCTTTATTATCATTAATAAATATAACAATTAATTATTCAATAACATTACAGTAATTTATTCTGCTTTAAATTCAGATTTAAATTTTCCTAACATTAAATTAAAAAAATTAAGAAAGTCAATAAACTGGGCACTGAAGTGAGTTTAGATAATAAACTTGCCAACATTAGCATCCTCTACCTATAGTGCATTTCCATTTTTGTGCCTGACTTTTTATTTTTTTTTTTTGTTTTTACAACAAGAAGCTTTGATTTATAGGGATAGCTCAGTTGGTGAGCCGGGATAGCTCAGTTGGTTAAAGCGCTGCTATAAAGTGCGTAATAATAATTGGCCGCAGCAGCAGGATTGCAGCTTCAAATCCCGGCTCCGCCTACTCAGCGTATGAGTAGTACTTCGGTACAAAGGGAAGTTGTCTCGATTAGCTCTGCTATTACGATGTTTCCTTCTTGACTAGTAAATAAATAATCTAGTCGAGTAAAAAAAAAAATAATCGTTTAAAAAAATAAGCGTTTATAGTAATAATGCACACTGTTATGATTTTCTTAAAGAAAAACTATAACAAAAATGTTTCTAAATATTTGAATGTTTAAATATTTATATTTTTATAGTTTTATTTTTTTATAATTTTTTATTTTTTCTTGAATGAAGAAACATTTTACGAGGAGTGTTTTTTAAGTTAAGAAATACAACTGCAACTCACTGATAAATTTAGCACAAGATGTTTAATGCAGATTGAAATCTTCAAACATTAAAATATTTTACTTAATAAATAAGAACCTTAAATTTAATAACACAATAGTTTTTCATCTTTTCATTGCTCTTAATATTGCAACAAATATTAAGAAATAATAATTTTTTTTTTTTCTCCTTAAATTAAGTATTTTGATAACTTTATATATGTTTTTTTTTAAAACAATAAAATGCTATATTTATAATTAATTTTACATATTTTGTGATAGACCTATCTTGATTATAACTTACAACTTTAACACAACTTCTCAATACATACTTTTGCAACAAATAACCACATAAGCTGACTAACATAAACTATACTAAAGTTTTTTAACTTAAAACTTCTTTGACTTTAAATTTTATTTTATTTATCAAAGCTCAATGTAACTGTAGGTAAAACCTGTAATAATACTTTAGGTGCAACCTGTTATCATATTGCAGGTGCAACCTGTAATTATATTGCAGGTGCAACTTGTAATAATACAGTAGGTGCAACCTGTAATACTGTAGGTGCAACCTGTAATACTCTAGATACAACCTGTAATAATTTATCAAAAATAATTGTAACTAATTATAACTTAATAAACTTGTCTGTAACTATACAACAAAATACTTACAACAACTTTTGCTTAAAAACAATTTTATTATCAGCATCACCAATAATTAAAAGATGTTGATGATGTTGCACATCTTTGTTATTTAACAACATTATTTTTACTAATATATTGGCTTGAGTTGAGCTAAAACTGCCTTCCTAGATGAATAAAAAATTCAAAAAATACTAGTATCAACTTTTCTGAAACAGTCTGAAGAATACTAAATTCCTCAAATAATTGGGTCAAAAACAAAGCAATAACAATATTTGTAAGGAATAATAATAATTAAATGAATAATAAGTTATATATCAAACAAGAACTTAAAATACAATATAAATTTTAAAAAATTTTAAAAAATTTAAAAATACAATATAAAAAATAAGTATTATATACTATAGTAGAAATAGTATAATAACATTTTTAACATTAAACAAGTGACATAATAAAAATATCTTGAAAAAATTGATTATATTTACACATATCTATTTGATTAGTTATTCATTTTATTAAAAAAAAATTAATTACATTTGTCATTTATACCTATTTAAATTTTATTAATAATTAATAATCTGTTTTTCAAATATATATTTACAAATAATTAAAAAATTAAAAAAAAAAATTAATTATGTTAAAAAAGTTAAGCATTAATTAAAACAAAAATACCTGCTCAATGATCAAATCAACTTTTGGAAGAGATGAAATTAGCTCCTTGACCTGTGGTTAAGTAAAACATACTTCAAATTCTGTAAAACAGTTAAAATTAGAATGGTAACAATGGTAAAAACCTGTGAACCAAATGGTGGATGACGATTTAAAATCTATAAATAAATAAAAAAGTTTAAACTTTATTTAATGTCAATGCATCAATTGTGTAATAAACTGATTTGTTACCAATTCTATTTCTCTTGGATTTGTTTCCTCCATCTTTTGAAATGATGTGAGCCCTGCATTCACTAATGCAGCTGATAGTGTTGCACCTAAAATTAAAACAATGATCATTTAATAATTTTATAAAGTTTTCTTTTTACAACTAAAATGCACTTTTGTCAAATTTCATAAGTGCAAAAATTTACCTAAAAAAAAGTAAATAAAACTGACTCTGAAAAAATATAACAAAAAAAAATTCAAATGAAGTGATGCAGCGGTAGTGATGTAGTGGTAAAGCTTTATTAGCAAGAAAAACAGAGTTCTTTTTCAACCAAGTGCTTGATAGTATCAAGCTCACAAACCTGATAGTATTATTATCAAGGCCACATAAGCATCCTATGTTACAACATAGGACTGCTTATGTGATGAACGATTTTAAGATGGTGTTATAAATCAATTTAGGAAGCTGTGCTCTGTTTATGAATGAGTCATACTCTCTTTAATCTTAAATCATGCTAAAAGTAACACAAAACATTATACATAAAAAACCCCACCACTTAACTGTTTAAATGTATCTTTTATAAATATTCATGGTCTGCAAAGCAACCTTAAATCAGTTGAATCTTACCTCTTGCAAAACTCACTAGACTTGCTTGTTCTTAGTGAGACTAATTTAAATTCTGCTATTCCTTCTTCTGATCTCAGTGTTGATGGGTACTATCCTTTAATTCCCAAATACTCCAATAGTTGCATGTTTGGCCTGGGGTATACACACAGATTAATTCACCTATTTGTTGTGAAATCAAGTTTGAATCCTTCAACCATTCTTTTATATGCTTCTGCTTACCACCTCTCCACATCTCACCTTTCTCTTTGTTCTTTATTGTTCTTCTTCTTCCCAATACTGCACTCTTTTAGATGTAATTTCTGATCAAATTGATCATGCCCTCTCTCTTTACCCTTCTGCCAATATTGTTGTTAAAAGAAATTACTTTAAGACAACTAATATGGTTTTCAATCCTCTCGCTCTACGGCTGACTTGCTAACAGCTGTGAATGAAAGATTTTATCATGCATTAGATAGAGGCGGAGAGGCTAATGCTATTGTTCTTGACATATCTAAATTTTTGACAAAGTTTGGCATGTCGGCCTTCTTTATAAACTTGTTTCATATGGTGTATCTAGGAAAGTTTTTTGAGATTATCATGTCGTTAATTTCTTACCGTTTTATTAAAGTCATTATCGAAGACCAATACTCTTCTTCATTTTTAATGTAATTTTTGGGTTACCTCTAAATTCTATCCTTGGGTCTGTTTTGTTTCCTTTCTACATTAATGATCTTCCTGATAACCCTACATCTAAAGTAGTTCTTTCTGCTGATGACTCAATTTTATACTCTTGTCTTGACAAAAAGTCTCCTCCTTTTGGTCTCACTTCTGACAAATTGGGGCTTGCAGTGGCTTGTAAATTTTAACTTTAACAAAGCTCAGTTATTTACTGCAAACAACTATCGCAATACTGTTGACATTCCTTTATTAATGAATGGCAATCCTTTTTGAATTATTATTTACTATTGACCTTTCATGGAAACCATATATACAATCAACTGCTAAATAAGCATCTACTAAGGTTGCTTCTTTTTTAATTAAATTAGCATCTACTAATGTTGCTTTTCTACTAATTTCATTTTCTGCTCTACACATCTCCTACTCGCCCCTCTATGGAATACTGTTGTCATATTTGAGCTGGTTCTTCTAATGATGCTCTTTCTTTTCTAGACAAGGTCCAAAAATGCATTGTAAACATAGTTTATGTTAATATGTTAATAATTATGTTAATTAAATAGTTATGTTAATATGTTAATAATTATGTTAAGAATTAGAAATGATAGCTCAAAGGAGCTATCATCTCTAATTCCATAAACTGACTCACTCTCATTTGACTCGTCATTCAGCAAAGTCTCATTTGTTTCTGTATCTGCCCTTGTATGCTCTAAAACTTTTATTCGTCTAGCTTTTTTCCATGCACTTTAACTCTTTGGAAATTTTTTACATCTTTATTTTTCCTGACTCAAACAACCTTTAATTTCTTTAAAGTCTTCTGTCAACCATTTCCTTGCTCTATAACTCATTTCTTTTGTTCTAGTAACTCCAAAATTTTTAGTGGTTACTTACAGCCTTGTTGGGAGTGAAACAGAATAAAATTGAAAAAAAAAAGCTTTTTCTCCTTGCAGCAGTCTTGTGTCAAAGCTTGAGTTTAAAAGGTGAAATGTTTAGAGAAGAATGTTTTTACAAATTAAAACAGTAATAAAAAATCTTAAAAAAATAATGATCAGCCTACTTCTCATTAGTAGAAGCCCTTTGACCTTAAATTTAATTATTACATTCTATGTCATTTAAATACTTTACCAATGATTGGGAAAGAAAATTGAAACATTTTAACTACCTTAAAATAAAATCAGATTTACCTATTTTTTCTAATTGTCGAGAGACATATGGAGAATTTTCCCACAACCTAATATATATTCAACATATAATACTAAAAAAAGTACATTATGAGTAATCAAAAACCTCCAAAAAAAACCCCCTCAAAAAACCTGTTTATTTGTACCACAACCATATTTAACAAAGTTTTATGTTTTGGAGTTTTGAGTTTTAAAAAAACAAAGATTACTTGAAAATGTCAATCTTTTTAAAACTCTTATGTTTCAAAGTGTTTTAGTGTTTGCGGGGAGAGTTTCTAACAAACTTTAATATAAATATAAATATACTTTAGTGTTTGCGAGGAAAGTTTTTAACAAACTTTAATATATATATATATATTAAAGTTTGTTAAAAAATTTTCAAGTAATCTTTGTTTTTTTAAAACTCAAAATGGAGTTTTGAGTTTTAAAAAAACAAAGATTACTTGAAAATGTCAATCTTTTTAAAACTCTTATGTTTCAAAGTGTTTTAGTGTTTGCGGGGAGAGTTTCTAACAAACTTTAATATAAATATAAATATACTTTAGTGTTTGCGAGGAAAGTTTTTAACAAACTTTAATATATATATATATATATATATATATATATATATAATATATATATATATATATATATATATATATTTATATATATTTATATATATTTATATATATTTATATATATTTATATATATTTATTTATATTTATATATGCTTTTGTGTTTGCGGGGAGAGTTGCTAACAAACTTTAATATATATATATATATATATATATTTGTATATATATTTTTATATATATATATATATTTATATACATATATATTTAAATATATATATATTTAAATATATATATATATATATTTAAATATATATATATATATATATATATATATATATATATATATATATATATATATATATATATATATATATATATATATATATATATATATATATATATATACATATATATATATATATATATATATTTATATATATGTATATTAGGATGGAGCAAAAAAATAACAAAACAAATGTTTTAATATTTTAACTAAATTTCAAAGAAGAACATTATGTGATAGTGTCATTTCCACAAAACAAATATGTTAATCATGTCATGCTACAAAGTATTACACAAGAGATATTATTGAGCATCAACAACATTAAATCATCAGACACTTTAGCAGCACTTGCTTGTGATGGTACTGTGAATAACACAATGGAGTAATTGGAAAATTAGAAAAAAGCTTTTGCAATGGTTGTTCTGCTTGATAAATGCAAATGCTTTTTAGAAAATAATACTTTGTTCTGGAAGCCTAACAGGTCCGGTGGAAGCCTAACAGGTGGTGGAAGCCTAACAGGTCCGGCTACTTTAACAGGTAAAATAGGCATTGCACTAGATTTTGATTCAAAAGATTACATTTTTGTGAACTTTAAAAATAAACCTGGCTAACCTAAGGATGTAAGTGTTAATGTTAAGAAAGATTTAGGTTCTGATCAGATATACTTTCTTAAAGCTTAGCTGTTCAGCAGCAAAATATTTAAGTCAGTTTTGCATAATAAATGTTATTTTGCTCATCCTGAGAACATATTTGGAGGAGTTACAGGTAAAAATGTATCAATTTGTCAGTTTTAATGTGACAAAATAATTGACGCATGAGCGTCATCACAAAGTAGCAAGATATGTATCTTTAATAAATTAAGCATTGATCTGGAAGATTTGTCATTCATAAAGATAATCGACTGGTCTGTTGCTATTGTAACATCACTACTTCTTTTATCAACTGTTTTTAATGATGATCTTAAACATTTCCGGTTCCACTTTGATGTCTTGAGTAGTATTTCATGCCTTTCTCAGGCAGTTGAACTTACTATTAAAGAAATCTTAGCAACAACTATGACAATTGTACATATACACAAGTAAATAAATGCAATTTATATAAATATAAATTAATAATGTATATATATACACAAATATAAACACATGCTTAGATAAAAGTTTTTTCCTTCTTTTTCTGATAAGATAAGCAAAACTAGTAAGCATTTGCTGATCTATATATGCTGTAGTAGATATACAGTAGCAGTCAAAAGTGTTTTTATTACCATTTTTTGTGCAATAACTTCCTAATGAAAAATATTTTGTGTTTGTGGAATTTACACCCACAAAACTATAGTTTTAATTGGTAAAGGTTCTCTTGTTTTAATAAATAATTGCACTTAGTTTATAACATTTTTTAAAAAAAATTACTTCAAAAGTATTTTTACTCTTGATTGTTCAATTTTTTTTTACAAACTCTTATATTTATATCTTATATTTATATGGAATTTTTTTTTACTCTTATATTTATATGGAATTTTTTTTTACTCTTATATTTATATGGAATTTTTTTTTACAAACTCTTATATTTATATGGAATTTTTTTTTACAAACTCTTATATTTATATGGAATTTTTTTTTACTCTTATATTTATATGGAATTTTTTTTTACAAACTCTTATATTTATATGGAATTTTTTTTTACAAACTCTTATATTTATATGGAATTTTTTTTTACTCTTATATTTATATGGAATTTTTTTTTACAAACTCTTATATTTATATGGAATTTTTTTTTACAAACTCTTATATTTATATGGAATTTTTTTTTACTCTTATATTTATATGGAATTTTTTTTTACTCTTATATTTATATGGAATTTTTTTAGCAAACTTGATTGAAAATTATTAAAATCACATTCAAAAATGGAAAAACACAAAGAGTAAGATCTTTGTAACTCAGAAGTAAATGCGGTTAATTATTGTAGAATCACAAAAGCAAAAGCTGCTTATCAATTTGGAGTATACAAACAGCTTGTTTGTGCATGGTTCAAAATAAAAGCACGCAAATGAACTTTAGAAACAGAACCCAGATCCAGCCAACCAAGAAAAAATACTAAAAGGGAACATAAAATATCAAAAGGTGATGCTCAACTTACTGGACCGCAGATTACTTCTGAATAAAATAAATATACTGAAGTAAAACTATTTCAACTAAGTCAACTGTGAAAAGACGTTTACGTGACAACAATTTATTTGGAAAACATCAGGTTGAAAACCAAATTGAGGGCACCATGGATGCCAAATACTACACTGATTTGATGAAAAACCTTATGCTACCACATGTTAAAGCAAAAATGCATCAACCATTATGTTTCAGCAGTATAATGACCCTAAACACACTTCAAAGGCTGCAAAAATTGGTTCACATCTAATAAAGTCTGTGTTATGGACTGGCCCAGCTAAAGCCCTGACCTAAATTCCATTGAAAACTTATGGAGGCAGCTTGGTTGGTCAAGTTAGAGAAGGAAATTTTATTAACAAAAAGAATTAGCAGCTTTACACCGAAAATGGGAAAACATTCCTATAGACAAACTAATTAAGCATGTCAACGCAATACCTCAAAGATGTGCCGCTGTAATTACCTCAAAAAGCTATGCCACCAAGTATTGATTAATATAATTATACATTTTATGAACTCTGATAGTTACCTTCATTTTTTAATTTTTTTTTCTTCAAAAAAATTGAAATTGAAAATACTTTTGATCTAAGCAAATTTGAAAAATAATTATTTAAAATATATTAATGCAAAGTCCTATAGAAATTTTATACCGCCACTAATGTACCTTTGATAAAAATAAAAAAATGATCCCCACCTAGCATCAATATTTTTTTCAAGCAAAAATTTCTTTTTCTGAGTCTTTATTGATAAAACACTTTGAAAACAATGCCATAATTTGTTTTTGATGACCAATAATTATGCGGAGTGGCTAATGAGTGATGAAGAGGTCATATTTAATGAAAATTTGTTATATTTTTTCTTTTTTCTTTTTAAAAGTAATTGCTCTGATTGTTGGAAGTTACACTTTTTGCAATTTTTACTAACTTTGGACAAATTCCTAAACATTGGCGCGAAAAGATTTTGATGTTGAACTCAATTATTTTTTTCAAATATATTTTTATTATATGTAGCAAAAAAAACACTGTGCTTTTCAATTTAAGAGATATATAGTACCTATCTGTCACTGATTACGATACATATCTCTTAGGTTATAGTAAAGTGATTTTTTGTTGATCTATGAGCTCATTTCCATTTGTATAAATTTATTATTTTCAACTCGTATTAGTATCAAATGATGTTTTTAAAAAAAAAATACGGTTATCAGAGCCTTGGATCAAACAAATCCAAAGTAGTTACTTTAAGAGATTGGGTATAAGAACTTTAAGAGATTGGGTATAAAAAGTTTCGATCTTTTGTTGTAGATTAAACTAGTTAAAAATGTATCAATTTATCTAAAAAAATATGTGCAAAATTTTTGTGTAGTTATTTTAGGTACTCCAAGTAAAGTAAGACCAAATGTCACACACAGAGCACCATGAAAACGTTCACGCTTGCTTAATGTCACAAAAATGACTTGAACAGGCATCGAACAACAGATCTCTTGATTCTGGAGCAAACGCTGTAACCACAATTTATTATCTGCTTTAAATTTATATATATATATATATATATATATATATATATATATATATATATATATATATATATATATATATATATATATATATATATATAAATATATATATATAAATATATATATATATATATATATATATATATATATATATATATATATATATATATATATATATATATATATATATATATATATATATATATATATTCAGCATGAGACAAATATCTCAAGAAAATGTGTAACAAAATAATTTTTACAATTAGGTTTTGGATTGAAACTGAAGTTATTAAAACTATTCAAAAAGTTTTGAGTTGTTGACTCAAAGTTGCTAGTTACTTGTAACCACCCTTCTTCTTTTTTAATATTTTTTTACAAGAACTGTAAAAAAAATATTAAAAAAGAAGAAGGGTGGTTAAATTTTACTGTAAGCACAGCAAAATTGATTTTATTACAAAGAAATATTTTTCTTAAAACAAGAAATACACTTCTTGCTTTAAGAAAATAATATCAAATACTGCAATTTATTTCTAAAAACAAGAAAAAAATTTCTTGTTTCAAGAAACATATTTCCTCTTAGCAATTTATTTTTTAAAACAAAAAATAAATTTTTTGTTTGGAGAAATAAATTTCTTGAACTATAGTCAATAGAATTAAAATTTTGCTGCATTTTGCTTCTAATGAGTTCTTAGCAACTTTAAAGGATTTAAATTTTACATTGTCTGAAGAAATCTCATCTATAGGTATTTTTTTGGTGAAATATACAACTCAAGACCAAGTGGCTAGTATTTATCTACAAAAACCACTTTTAGAAGAATTTCAGCTTTGATCCGTTTTTACATCATTTTGAACATCTCTTTATGTTGAATAAAAAATATTTATTTGTAATGATCTCTGTTAGAAGATGCTAATGCCAGCAATACGGTTAACTGATCCAAACATGTATAGTTTTACCAGATTTTTATACCAACTTTGAAGCAGGTTCATAATCAACAAAATGGCACACCTGGCAATAATCTTGTTGATTTAAAAAGTGTAAATTAAATACAATACAATGTAGATAAAATTAGGTTTAAAATGATAGTGCTAAAAATTTATAAAATTTAATTTTAACAAGATAAACTTAAAGTGCTATTTCTATTGATTTTATTTCTATTTTATATCTACTGATTTTATTTTTAAGAAAAGTCTGTCAGTAGAGAAAAAAAATTGATTTAAATGTTTTTTTGTTTTGTTTTTTACATTTAACTTTGAATCTTTTGGCAAACCATTGTTTTTAAAAAACTTCTTACTTTTATGGCCTATATTATTATCATAAGACTAAAATATCAAACATGAAAATTTTTATGAAACTTTTACTTTAAAAATGCATAATCAGAAAACTTTTAGATTAAAAACCACAATGCCAGAAGAGAGAAATGTAGTCAGACATTCGAAACTGCCTAATTTTAGGGAAATGTAACTTAAATTTTATGTAGCAAAATGTCTTTGACAAAAACTTGGCATTTGAATTAGCTCCATTTTTGTTAATTTTTACCTAATGGCCTGCTTTTTTCCCGCAAGTTTACAATTATCTCTGACTTAAAATTCAGTTAGAAACTTATATATTTTAAAGTGTTTATTACTTTATTTTTATGGTCTTCCAGGTTTGATCAGCAAGTTTTGATTTGCTTCTTTAACCAGATATCAATGACATTCTGATTAATAAATTGTAACAGCACCATCTTATTGTTTGCACCATCTTAGCTCTAATTCAGAGATTTAAGTAGTTTGTCCCCAGCTTAACAGTTTGTTAACAGATACGGTTATATGAAGCTCTCTGACATGATGGTATAAATAATAGTTAGCCAAGAAACCTAGCTAACCTTGAACAAACCCCTTTCAAATAACCAGTGCTTGAAGTAAGCAAACTTTTTGAGATCAAAAGAATTTGATAAATTTTAAATTGTTGTGTATTGGGCATACATACATGTATGCCCAATACACAACATGAATGTATGTATGTATGTATGTATGCATGAATGTATAATTAAATTAGTAAACAAATTAGTAATATGCATATATATATATATATATATATATATATATATATATATATATATATATACATATATATATATATATATATATATATATATATATAAACTATAAAAATTAACAGACTTTGCACGAATGCATTTGCACAATAGTACAGAGTTAAGAGCAGTCTGGAAGTTATTTTGAAGCAGAAAGTATTCCATCATGACTAAAAAAAAATTGATTAAAAATTAAGAAATGTATTTGAATGTTATATATAATATTAGAAATAAAAGTATTTAAATATATATATATATATATATATATATATATATATATATATATATATATATATATATATATATATATATATATATTCATATATATATACAAATAAATCTAAATTTATTTGACTAACTAGATTACCAATGTTCTTAAATAAACAGAGCAATAATAAAATAGCAGAAGTATATATAAGTATATATATGTATATACATACATATATATATATGTATAAACATATATATATATATATATATATATATATATATATATATATATATATATATATATATATATATATTTATACAAATATGTATGATTATATGTATGTATGTATGTATTAGGATCCACCAAAAATATACTTTAATTTCCCCAGGACATCTATCACGTTTTTACCATGCTCAAAAGTTCCCTGAGGTTAAATCAAAACTAAAAAATTTTTTCTGAAAGTGATCTTTAAAATTTAAAAAAATTCAATTTTTTGAAAAAAAAGTTTATTACGTCAATAATTGATTAATTTGGGGAGAACGTTTTTTCCATTTTATTTTTTGTTTTTTAATAAACCTATTGATAACCTCCAAGTTGTATAATAATATTATTAGTATGATACACGTTTATTTTTTAAGAAAATTTTCAGTAATTTTTACTAATAGAGGTTGTCCTCGCAAGAAAGACAGATAGGTTGGAGTGCTGCTACATTGACTGCTACACACATACTGGACAAACAGATTGCATGACTGATATAACATGCAAGGATTTAAGGCAGCAATTTTTTTATTCTTTAATTCTTTCTTTTTCTGCAAAAAAAAAAAATTTTCTGTGTGGAAAAAAGTAAAATAAGTCAGCAAATATATATATGCTATAGTAGATTCAAGTAGGCCAAATTTTTCTTTCAAAAGTCAATGCTTGTTCAAGTTTGAACAACAAATGCCTTTTTATACCACTTCATAAAAAATGTAAATAAAAGATTAGTTTTGCTGATTTTATTTTTATTTATTTATATAGAATTAATAAAACTTTTATTTTGCCCTTTTATATTAAATTGATTTATTTACAATTTAACTTAAAGGTTTGTATTTAGGATTTTAAATAAAAAATTTGTTTTGCCTTTTTTAATTTTAATTATTTAATTAATAATTTTAATAAGGCATTAATTTTTTTAACCTTTTTCGTTTGATTATTCTATTCTATTTAAAATTTAATAAAAATTATTATTTTTATTTTAGTTGTTTCATTTAGAATATCATTAAACTGTTAGTTTAAATTTAATTATTGAATTTGAAATTTAACTAAAATCTTCTTTTGTTTTTAATAATTGTATTTAGAATTTCATAAAAACATTTTTTTTTTTTGCATTTTTTTTTTTTTTACCTATTTAGAATTTAAATAAAACACTTGATTTGTTGTTGTGATTTTTAAATAATTTTTTTTTATAATTTAAAAATACAATCTTTTTTTCATTTTTGTTTTTAAACAACTTTTAAATGTATTGTACAAAATATAGTGCTCCATGATCTTAACAGAGCAATTATAAAGTAGTAGAAAGATCACTTATCAAATTTTTTTTTTCATTTAACACTGTGTTTTATCAAGACTCATCAGTAATGAATGATCAAATTAATAAAACTTCAATTTATACCAAAAATTAAATTACAGTAAGCCAAAAATGTCTTGTAAATTTTCTGTAAATCAAATGCACTGTAAATTTTCACACATTTGTGGAATATGCTGACACTTTCTTTAGAATTCTTTAGAATTGATTACTTCTGCTTTTTTTTAAAAATATTTTTTAAAAGGAGGATTTAATATATTATTTGAGCTAACTTATTTTTATAGTTTTTTAGGAAAAACTTACTTTCGTGCCTTAAAAGATAAAATATATTAATTTATACTAAATTCCTTAAAACAGCACCTGCATATTTCCGAAAAATGCATACTATGCCTACAAGAAAAATTTGAAATTATTACACAATCAAGACTAAAAATTTTTATTAAACAAAAAAATTGAAATTTATTTAGAAATCAATTCCGATTTTTTATTTATTAAACATTCTTGGTTTGCATGTGTAATAATTTCAATTTTTTCTTGTAGACATAGTACGCATTTTTTGGAAATATTGTTATATGGACCAATTAAGTATAAAACCATCAATGTTTTTATCTCTTACCTCCCATATTTATTTTGAAAGCATGGTGTCCTTTAAATACTTTTTATTTTTAAAGAATTGCTTATGATTGGCAAAACTTTTTTTGGTTTACAATTACAATTTTCTGTAGTTTATTCATTAACGAATTTTTTTATTTGACAAACATTGTTGTGACCTTTTATAATTCTTTCAATAGTTTTTTGTGTAACTGTAGCTAACTTTAATTGTATTTCAATTAAAAATTTTATGTAATTTATTAGAGGGCGGGAAATACTTATCGAATAATTTTAAAAACATTTTTTCTATGTTAGTGGAAACATTTTTGCTATATGGGGGGGTTAAACCAAATTACATTTCTAGTTCTATTTCACTTTTTTGTATTCTTTTTTTCAGGGTCAAATTTTAGTTCAAAATTTTTAAAAACACTTTTTTTAAGGGCACCTTCAATTATTTGTTTAGAGGAATTAAATACATTTTTATTAGAGGAGTTTTGGTTTAGCCTTTTATTAATTGAAATCGGGATTTGTTTTAGATTTTGGGATGGATGGAGTTAATATTAATATAATAATTCATTGTTTAGTTTTTTGTGAGTTTTCAGGGAGGTTAAATGTGACGTCAAGAAAGTTCACAATTTCTAAATTTATATTTAGTTCGATTTAAAAGCCAATATTTAAAATTTTTTTTATATCTTTTCTAATTTTATCGAGCTGTGATTTTGACCAGACTTTTTTCGCATTACTATTAAACCATCGTCGCGATAAAGACCTAAATTAATTATATTGATTATTTTACTTAATAAATCTAAAATATATAGTCCAACAAACTCATACATTTCTGCTCCATCATAACTGTCCATTGTTACATCAAAGCAGTGATGTATATGTTTCTTTTTCTAAGTTTTCTTATTAAAATAAAGTAAGGTTTTTCTACAATGTTTTATTATATGGATTGTTTCTTCAGGAATAACTGTGTGGCTTTTTGCAAATTTAATTGCTTTATCTAAAATATCTGCAGTTATTGAGGGGTAAAATATCTGCAGTTATTGAAGGGTAAAAATCATTAATGTCAAATTGAATGAATGTACAGTGATTTTTATTTTCGATTATGGAGAACCAATTTATAACATCAGTGGTTTTTTTCCACTGTTGTAAATTTAATTCATTTCTAACAATATTATAAATTTTGTCCAATTTAATTTTGCTTACATGTCCAATCTCACTTTTTGAGGGAACCAATAATGTACAAGGAAGTTTATTTTGAAAATTTAGTTTTATGGTCTTATGTGTTATGGCCTTATGTGTTATGGTCTTATGTTTCATGGTCTTATGTGTTATGGTCTGATGTTTTATGGTGTTATGAAGGCTTGGGTAGTTAATATGATTCTGTTATCAAGGTTTATTTTTTTAACAATACTTTGCGCTTTTAAATTAATTGCATTTTCCATATTTTTAGGGGCTTTCTCATAAGAAATAGTAATATTATAGAGCAAAACTTTTTCATAATTTTTTGTTGTTCCACAGATTTACAAAACTTTAAAAGGTCATGTTATAACTTGACAAGTTAGGTTAATGGAAAGCCATTTATTTTTTTAGAAGAATATGATTTAAAGCATAAATCCAAAACATTCTTCAGAAAACTGTTTATTTATTTGACTGAGTTTAAGAATGATAAATATTTAATAGAATGATTTAGCATCCTTGATCACAAGATCTATATCCTATCAGACTTCAAAGGGAGGTATTAAAAGTAATGCCTAAAAACTAATGCCTAATTAAAAACTTATTAGTTAGTGGCATAAAATTGGATAAGTCATTAAGTATAATGCCAAGAATATCTATGGCGGTTATTGTTGCTAAAAGGCAAATAAATTATAATTATAACAAATAATTTTTTTTTTTTTGTTCACCTAATAAATAGAAAGATTGCATATAGTTTAGGTAGATTTTGTTTTCAGTTTTTCTTTTAAT